GAGTGAACTGTGAAGTGTGCAAAATTTCTAGATCTTATCCTAATTGCTCAAATTGGCATGGTTAAGGTTCTTGATAGCATTCATGTTTCATATCTTTTGGGCTCAGTTCCGTATATCTTTATTGTCGTAATGATTTTGTGTCCATCCGACGAATTTAAAAAAAAACAAAAAAAAAAGTCACCATCAATTTTTTTTTTGCTAAATGCAATTGGCCACCTATTAAAATTTATCTTTTTAATTAGATTTTAAAATTAATCAAAATTTATTAAAAAATAATTTTATGGTCTGTGAAACAATTTGAGTTTGGGAGTTGGTTACGCATGAGGAATGATTAGTACCCCTACAGTGCCTGTTTAAAACGGTACTAATTAACTATGTGCTATCCATTGATTTTAATAAAAACAGTCTTATTTTCGGTGTTTGAAAAATAATTTTTTTATTTTTTATTTATTGGAAATTGATTTTTTAATTTTATTATTGTTCCATATTTATTATTCAAAATTTATTCGAGAAAAATAAATTAGAACCTTTTTAATGAAATAATTCTTAAAATATTCTAGTACATTGATAACATCGAAAGAACTCTTTCGAACTTAAAGATTTCTTAGGCATCACTTCTCAGAATACTTTAGAATCTTATCTTCGGATGCTCACATTTATTTCTCACAAAAAAATTATGATGTGCATGCAATGTAAATGATATCATGTTGATGCACACATTTTACTAATTCCTTTTTTATAAATTTTATTGATTTATTGATTTTTATTATTTAAAATTTTTAGAGAAAAGGAAAATTTTTATTATATTGAAGATTTTTTATAAATATTTCAATACACTGGTAATATTTAAAAAATCTTCTCACCTAAGAATTTTTAAAGTATCTCTACTCAGAATACTTTTAGAATCCCATCATCGGATAAAATTTTATTTTTTCTCATTTTTTATTATTTTTGCATTATCTTATAAGATTTATTTTAAAATTAACAAAATTATCACAATTTTTTACTATATATTTCATTATTTATTTTTATTAATTATTATTATAAAACAAAAAAAATTTTATTCTAGCAAATTTAAACATTTTAACATGGATAGATATTAATAAATTTAAAATAACAAAAACAATATTTTAAAAAAATTCAAAAAAAAAATTTGCACTTGAACTGGACCGGTCAACATCGATCTGATTGGTTTGACGGTCTGATCGGGTTTTGCGGTTTGGGGCCAGTCTAGTTCGATCTGGGGGTCTGTTTGGCTCAGTTTGGGCTGGTTCAGTTGAACCGGTCAAAAGTCAAAGGTTAAGCGGGTCGTCAAGTCGGGTGCGTGAATCCCAGGTTAGGTCACGAGCTAACACGCGGATCCTTGGTGCTCAAAACGACATCGTTTTGACGTTTATTGAAACGACATCGTTTTGGTTTTTCTCAGTTTCTATAAAAGCTCAAAATTTTTTTCAGATCATTTTTTTTTATCTTTCTCTCTCAACTCTCTCTCTAAACACAACCGACCGATTGCTGTCCACCACGTCTGCCGTCGTCAGTGATCGTCGACCGTCGTCAAAAAATCCAAAAATATACCAAAATATTCTCCTCGACGCGCTCTTTTTGGATCCGATCTCATTTTCACTAGGAACAGCCCCAATCGGCATAGATCTGGACCTAAAGTTTCAGTCTCCCTTTTCTTTCCTTTTTTTTTTATAAACTAAAACTGACCCCTTTTTTTTTATTATTTTTGTAGTTCTTGCTTGGCACTAGGTTCCTCGCCTAATCGACGAGGACTGTGATTTTTGTTTGCGTGATTTTTTTTGGGCAAAAAGATTTTTTTTTATTTTAGAAAAATTTTTTTATGTAGGGTCTCTTCCCTCCTTTCCCTTTTTGGGGACAACCATGAAGATCTATTTATAGAGCACCTCATCACCAGCCTCTTTGCCCTTTCTTGTTTTTTCTATTTTGTTTGGCTTTGGCCCTGTGCCTAGGTAGGTGGCACAGGGCCTAACAGAGGGGTGATGCCAGTGGTGCCGTACATGACACCAAGCACCCCTACCTCCTTTGTTTTTTCCTTTTCTTGTATTTTTTAGATTTTTTTTTGTTTAATTTAACAATAAAATAAAAAATAGATTGGGCCTAAATAATGAAATCGAACCTCAGGCCCGATTGAATATAAATCAAATCTCAGACTGAAAATCAAATTACAAGTTTTGGATAAATTTGATATCTACATCTGTCCCTTTCACTTATTTTGACATGCCATGATTTTCTTTTGCTCATATACAACTCCTTTTCTTCTATGAATTCTCTCACCCTACTTTGCATTTCATGGAAACCACTCTCACAATGCTAAAGCGCTCTCTCTCTCCCAAACTCTCCAACATTTTTTCCGTACGCGGATAATATTTCAACCACGTCATATCGATCTATGATCTATCCTCGTGCTGTTAAATTGTTACACCGCTTTGTAGCTCAGCTTCCACCGGTACGTGTAACCGAAGATGGCATTCGTGTGCTCCCCATCATAGCTTTTCAAGTCACTGTGTTTCCAAACTTTGGCATTTGCATCGGGTCGACTTATTGTCAAGTAGTTGGTAATGGCAAGTCATTCATGCATTTCATGAGATCTTGCGCGTGTGTTTATAGGTCAGGTGGTGACTTGTATTGAAAATTCACTTCTTTGATTAACAAGGATGTGATCAAGGATCCTGGTGGAATAGAGTTGAATCTATTGAAGAATTATTGATAATGGGTATCATCCTGTGGTGAGAATTCAGCCCCAACTCATGTAGCAGCAGAAAAAGTTGGGGCCATATTTGTGTTGGGTCGAGCCCATGCCGAGAGACTAAAGCGTTTGGTCACAGCTCAGTGCGGGAAAGGCTCTGATTCAGAGCAATATCACAACTCAACTTTTATGGTGACATGTGCCTTCATATGGGTTTGTTTGATTAAATCCAAAGAGAGTGTTAACAATAATTTATCACATGATGAAGATGATGATAAGTTTGACTACTGCCGTTTGATTGCCGAACTGCTTGGAATTTCCGATGCCAACAACATACTTTGGGAATTGTTTTAACCAGGCGATGTTGACGTAAAGAAAAACGAGTTAATGGAAGAAAATGGAATTGTTTTGGCTGCGAAAGCTATTGGAAAGAGAATTAAAGAAATAAAGAGAAGTGGTTTGAGAGGGCAGAGCATTGGCTATATATCAAGTGTTTTAGACAATTATAAGTGCAGGGCGACTTACTGCAGTTGCTGGGTAGCCAAAAATTGCATGTGTATGATATGGATTTTGGGTGGAATTGAGGTGAATGTAGCTTTAAACGAGAATAAAATGGATCAATTGGTTTGATATTAGTATTTGTAGTTCACCCAAGTGTTGATGGGGTAGTTGGATGTTAAGTGCTGCTGGATCCATATATCTTGAGTCAGTCTTGTATTTTTCTTTCTAAATCCAATTATTACTTGAATGGTATGGTATGCTTTTCCCATTTTAGGATCCGCCTCGGCTCCATTTGACCCTTCAAAGTTGAAATGCTTAGATATAATATGTATATAGATGCAAAACCACTACATTATGTGTAGCCGACGGTCATGGGAGAAGCTTTTTTTCAACCATCGCTGAAACAAGGACAAAAACTTCACTTGCTATCTGATTCACTGATTAATTTCACTTGATTCGGACCCACCAAACTTAGAATTTCCTCTCCAAACCAGCCTTGAATTCCGGAAACCAAAAAATTCATCAAACCATAATTTCCATTTGAAGATGCAGACCCGAAAAGAGTAAAGGTAAGTTTAGCTTTTGCTTCATCATCTGTAAATCATGTAGAATTTTGCTAAATGAAAAAGGTATAAAAAATTAGAGAAGAAAGGTTTTTAGCAAGGTGAAATTAGATTAAAATATGAAAAATATCTTCCAATCATATGTACATATAAACAAAACATATGCATTCAATCAAATAATATGTATAATTACCTTACAATATATATATATATATATATATATTGAAAGTTATAAAAAGTATTTTTAATTTTTTTAATTTCACATATAGACTTTTTTTCACTAATTATTTTTTGTTGTGGTATCAAATAATAAATATCTTTCATGTACATATATTTTTAATAATATGATATATAATAATTATTTATTAATAAAAAGAATATGTTTATATGTAAAATTAATAAAAAGGAAATGTTTATATTTGTTTAGAAATTAATAAAAAGTAAATTAAAATTAATTTTGTAATTTTTATATAAATATGGATTTTTTTATTAATTTTACATGCAGACTTTTTTTCACTAATTATTTCGATAATGATGTTAAATAATTAATTCTTTTTATTAACTTTCATATAAATATAAACATTTTCTTTTTATTAATTTTCATATAGATATTTTCTTTTCACTAATTAGTTTTGATTATGACATCAAATAATTAATCTTTTTTATTAGTTTTTTAAATATAGAAAATTTTATTTAATTTTATATATTTTTATTTCATTTTTTATAATTATTTTTGATAATGATACTCATTAAAATTTTTTTATTAACTCAGCTTCTTTTTGAAATTTTCTGATCTTTACACATCCATGTGTATGACATATGTACAATTTTTTGCCACATATGTCATTGTTTACGCATATCCTAAAAAATTTTAAATAGTTAAAAATAAAAACTAAGGAACTTATTTAAATGAAATAATAATATAAGAGTTTACTTAAATGTTTTTAATATTTTAAGAGCATTTTTTATATTTTAGTAATAAAATTATAAAAATATATCATCTACAATAATTATAATATAATTAATCAATTATAATTTAAAATTATATGAGATTTATCAAAATTTTAGATATAATTTATATTTATAAATAATACGTCTCTATATAAATTTGTATTTTAATTAAACAATTATAATAGTAAAAAAAGTTTATAAGTAATATGGTTTGTGAAAGTACAACGGGTAGCGCTACTTTTTATGTTCATGATGTGATAAATGTCAGTTACAGCCATTGAATTCAATGATGATGAAGTGGCATTTCATCTAACCATGAAATGAGCTGTCCAGGTGCGAGATGGGAAGGAGCCAAATCACCCATTTCAAATTCCAAAGAGGATGAAAAAAGTACAGTTATAAATAATTGGTTTGGATTGGCGGAAGAGGCCAGGAGATTTTAATACAAAAAAACAAGGAAAGTCTATGCACATGAATTCTGAAACCAGCAGTCGTTAATTTGCCATTTTTATTTTTTTTTTCCCTTCTTTAATTTGCTTTTGGAGATCATAAGCAGGTCTTTTTTTTTACCAAATACTCACTTCTTTCTAGATGACGTCTAACTGTTTGTGACATCTTGTACAAAAGGTTCATCTTCCGGAGGACGAGTGGTGCGGCGGTGCGAGGCGTAACCAGAAAGAAAGAAAGGCCAAAATCATTCCTTTTCCCTTGTTTAAATCTTTCTCTTCTTATGTAAAACATGGGTAATTCTCCTTCATTCCGGAATGATCAGAATGAAAATCGTGGAAGAAGAAAAAGGAAGTCCTGTTTCAAATCAAATCAGGTTTGCTAATTTCTTTGTTTTATTTACTTTTGATGTTTGCCTCTGGGTTTTTCTTTTTTGGATTAAAGCTTCTTGTTATATGAAAGTTAAAACGTATCTCCAAACTCATTTTAAAATCTTTACTATAGGTATAGGGTTGGAGTTTTGGATTAAAGATTCCTCTCCTATTTTAGTGCTGTGCTGTGCTGTGCTGTGCTGTGCTGGCCTATTTGTTTATATTTAGGGCTTTGATCTTGCATTCCTCCTTGGAACCCAACCAAATTAAAATAATTAAAAATCAGCCCAAGATGAGACTGGATTTAGCACCATGCAATCTCAACTACATTCGGCCATGCCCAATCTCCTTTAGTGACAGATACGTCGTCGTTGTACGTCCTTGCTTGGGTAATTTAATTCCGGAAACGCCCCTTCCTCTCTGCTCATGTAACAATAGTAATACAGTAGCCGCCGAATGAATGATTGGAGTGGTAACTGTGGTAGACCCTAGCAATAATTAGGCACGTGGAATCTGACGTCATCATGTTTTGCGGTCTCTTTTTTTTTTTTTGAGAAAGATTGATCGGGCTTTTAGGTCAACGAGAGAATCATAATGGCTCTGGCTGGTTGGCTTCGCAGAATAACAAGAGAAAGTTCTGTTCCTTCAGTTTTCCCCCACACGTTTTAACACTTGAATTCAGAGTCCTCACCTAAAAATTTCCAAGCGATGAAGCTCCCTTCGGATTTCCTTAAGATAAACATCGATTCACATTGATGTTGTGATCTTTATAATAATAAAACAATCTATACCGAACAGCTCAACTCTGTCCCTTCACATCTCCTCTTTAAGCGTTTCACTTCGTAAAAATTTCATATCCTAACTCGAAAAAGCTTTATTAAATTCATAAAAGATAGAAAGAAAATTGGAAACCAGATCTCTTCTCATTCATTTAACAGGTATCTTCTGATTCTCTCTTTTTCAATTAAATTTCTGCTTCTAATCACAACGATCAACCCTCGCTTCAAATTTAGCAAGCAAAGGAATCTATCTTTTTACTGTTTGGTTGTTGTTATTCTCATTCTCCAACAGCGGGAAACCTTGTCTAAGCTTCAGCTCCACTGTTCCCAAATTCGGTTGACTTCATTTTGCTTCTTTTTTTCCTCTTCTCGTTTTGCAATGGATGAGTTGTTGTTTGTTATACAGTTTTCCTGTTTGTTAAAATTCCTGAATTCGAATGTTGTAATATAAACTTGACATCTTTTAATGTTTTGACATATGGTTTAGCGAGAGCTGAGGCAGCTAGAAGATTTCTTTCTGATTTAAACGTTTTTCCTTTTTATCATTTAAGTTGTGATAAATCGCCCATGATATGATTTACAAGTAATTCATATTGTGTAATCTATCTCAATGCTATTATTGTTCGGTAATGAGCTCCTGGAAATCAGTTATGCAGGGCCTTTAGATAAGAATTCTTTTAATTGTATGATTTTAATCAATTTTTTTCCTGCATCCTATTCGAAAATTCAAAATTTTCTATTTTGATTTTTTTATATTTTAATTTTTTTAAATATTTTGTTTTTATCCCTTATAATTTCCAGTGGTACCTTGATTTTGACGATCATTAATCATTCGATAATGCAGTTGGGCCCGGCAATGGCGGATTCTAAATCCGACCCTGACTTCTTGAAGGAATTCTACATTCCTACATATATATTTAATGAGGAAACAAAGACCTCCTATGTTCCCGATGCACCTAAATTTCCAGTGCTAGCGTTTATCAACTCCAAAAGTGGCGGTCAGTTGGGTGGGGATCTTCTTAAAACATATAAAACTGTCCTCAATGAACACCAGGTACCTTTAGTCTTTCTGGATGCATATTTGGATATTTGCTTCAGCGCTAATCATGGTGTGACTAATTTCAGGTTTTCGATGTGGGACAAGAGGCCCCTGATAAGGTGCTTCGCAGAGTTTACACTAGACTGGAAAAGCTGAGACAAGAAAAGGATGAATTTGCTGCAAAGATTCATGAGAGACTAAGAATAATTGTAAGTTGTGCCTAATAGCTTACAGTCTTACAGGTCTATCTTTCTTGCATGATGCTATCAATAACAAGGACCAACAGTGCAGTTATTAGTATTATTATCTTTTATATATATATATATATATTTAACTCCTTACTGCTAGCTTGATCTTTAGGTTGCTGGTGGTGATGGGACAGCTGGCTGGCTTCTGGGGATTGTTTGTGATCTTAAATTGCCACATCCACCTCCAATTGCTACAGTTCCTTTGGGAACTGGAAACAATTTGCCGTTTTCTTTTGGCTGGGTAAGAATATCTTGCTTTTATTAGTTCTAATCAAGTGATAGAATGAGAGTTCAACCGTCTTGATAAGTTTTCTTACATAGAACGATGAATAAGTCTGTCCTTTTTTGGGCACAACATGGCCTTAATTGGCTTGATAGTATTCCCAATTTTTATATCTCATTTTCGTTTCCTGTTGTGGAGCCGAGCCAAGTTGCCTTTCAGTAAAATTTGTAATGTTTGCTGAAAATTCTTCTGATTTTTGATCGGCACTGCAATTGGCAATAGGAATCTGCTGGAAGTCTCTATACCATGAATAATCTCCATCAATTTTACGAGCTTTTAAGTTCTTGTCTAACTTGCAGTTTTCTAAATTACAGGGCAAGAAGAATCCTGGGACTGATCGTAATTCCGTGTTGTCATTCTTGGAACAAGTAATGAAAGCAAAGGAAATGAAAATAGACAAGTAATGTAGTTGAGATGACTCCTCTCACTTCCTCTCTATCTTACACACACACGTGCTTGATGTGAAGTGTACTTCTTGTAAACTAAGGGAACTTCCTGATTCGGCATAGTGCTGATGTAGCCAAATTTTGGTTTGCGTATCCAATTTCAGTGAAATGGGACTTTGCCTCTGTTAAGTTATGAACCTCTAGTGATGCAATATACTTCATCTCCTCTACCTGGTTATCATGTAAATCTTCACATGCAAAGCACACCTGTCAATCCTCGGACCATGTACAAATGTGCTAGGAAGTATGCAGTTGGGAAGAATCACTATCTATTAATTGTCAATCCTCCCTGTGTAACTTCTAAAATAAGTTTTGGGAAAATTAAATGGTAACTTTTTTGACAAAAGAAATCTTCCATGAAAGATGTAGGATCCACAAACAGAGTTCATTCCTATATAATTACATCACCAAGAGAACTTTTTTTTCTCTCTCCCTTTTGATTGTTTCCATCATTTTCAATTTTCACTACTATCTCTTTTAAGGAGGCCAGAATTTAAAGAAGCATATTTGCATTCCATGCTCCTTAACTCTCAAAGCCCAATTTGTAACTACATTTGTACATTATTATTATTATTATTATTATTATTATTATTATTATTCACTTTATATGGATATAATATTTTATTATGCAAAAATATTCACCTTCCAACATAAATCTTAATGATTTTTTCAATTAAATTATAGGGTTACTAACATAAAGAACTTCAATATGGTTACTGATATCTGCATTTTTGTGGTTCAGCTGGCATATTCTCATGAGGATGAGAGCTCCAAAAGAAGGTTCCTGTGATCCTATAGCACCTCTTGAGCTACCACATTCTTTACATGCATTTGGTCGTGTCTCTTCAACAGATGAACTGAACATGGTAACATATTCTATCATTACCTCCTGTGCCATCTTAGAATCATTTCTTTGTCTTACTCTTTGTTTTTTGCATCAAGAAGCTGTATGATTTTTAAACTATCTCTTGTAACTCACAGTGAAAACTTCAAATTTCTTTTCTGGTTTCAAAGGTTTTTTATTCTTTTTCTCTTTGTACCATTAAATTTTTCAGTGGCATATAATCCTTCCTGGAACCTTTGGTCTAGCTTCCAGTTAATGTTCTGTACCTTATTCTAAGATTTAACAAAAGAAATGCAATATTTGTTTATTGTTTTGCTTTTACATTCTTATATAAAATGTTTTTGCTCTCAGGAAGGTTACCATACATTTCGTGGTGGATTCTGGAATTACTTCAGCATGGGTAAGAATAATTCCCCTAGGCTAGTATTCAAACTGTTATGTCGCTAAAATGAAGCTATCTTAATCTTCTTGGTGTCTTATAAGTGTGGATGCTGGCTTTTTTTTTTTTTTTGTAATGATACCTTAAAGTACAATAGATTATACTTTCTGATATCAAAAGCAACTCTTCTTTTAATTCCTTTTACTTTCTGTTGCCTAATGGAAATTGAACAATCTTGTAAAGAATATATGATATTGCAGAAAATATGATTGAACAAAAACTTTGGGAAATGTAAGGTTTCCTTAGGTGTCTAATTCCAGTTTACATCTGGTTGAACTATCTTTTTGAAAATTCCAAGAAACGTGTTTTTTGAGTCCTTCTGTTTTATTTGCAAATTTTGTGTTACTAATCATACAGTCTCTCTATGTTTTTCTTTCTTTGCATCTTCTTGTTGGCTAAACAAGGGGAAGATTTACCCTCCCTTTTTCCTGTAGTGAAAATGCAGGATTAAATCTACACTGGTCCCTTAGTGCACCACTGAAAGATTCTTACTTGCTTAAGCTACTTGAAACCTTCATTATGCAACGGGTCAGGTGAGAAGTTTTTTTGGTCACCTGACCTGATCAAAGACTTGCATGCTCAACCGAACATAAAAACATTATTTCATATCCGACCTAAGCCTGCATATGCAATAAAACAGCAATCGACCCAACTTGAAATTAATTTAATAATTTTAATTTAGTATAATATTCATAAATTTTTTTTTAATATAAATTAAATCTTAATTATATATAAATATAGGATTTTATTAAGTTAATAACTTAAGTTAAAGTATTAAATAATAATTTTATTAATATAATACATATATATTTCTTCAAAAAACATAATACCTATATATAAATATAAAATTAAATAAATAGTAAATAGTAAAAAATTACATATATATAAATATATCTAACTTGATTCTCTTATTTGATTTTTCATATAGCTGACCCCAAAGTATGGGATATAAGGCTTAATGTGTTGTTGTTGTTGTTAGATACTAGGTCGGGGCAAGGCGCATTTACCTAAAACTTAACTTCGACCCAAGACAAAAAAATCCGACCCAACCTTACTCAAAAACCGATTTTCAAAAAAAAAAAAAAAGACCTTGCAGGATTGTGTTGGATCAAAACCCAAAGGATTCGGGTAGATTTGCCATCCCTAATCTTACCATCCAATATAAAGAACAGATTTGTTTATTCTCACTGCATAGTTATCTGGTTTACTCAACTTTGTTTCTAACATGACAAGTTGACAACTGGTTAACCTCATTAATATTGTTGTAATGTTGCCTACAGGAATGGATGCTCAAGTATCTTATGCTTTTCACTCTGAGCGAAAGCTGCATCCAGAAAAATTTAAAAACCAGTTGGTTAATCAGGTATAGTTCTGTCATAGTGCATCTGCTTTGTTTGATTGATGCATGGACACTTGCAGTCAATTCATCAGGGTTTTCCTTTTTAAGGATGTTACATGATTCACTGCTAGCTTATATTTCTTGATAGAGTTAGTCTCTTTTAGCTTTGAGGACAATCTTTTTTAAGAATTAGTTATCTTATCATCCATAACTGAGAAATTGGTCAATTGGGTTTTTAACATACGTGACATTTACTAAAAAATTGAAGGAACTAGAAAACCATACATGACGCCACATGACATTGCTCTGCTGTCCAAACTAGGATGGGAAACTTATTGGAAAGGCCCTACTTATGGAGTTGACTTGTAATACATGTTGGCTTTTTATTTTAGAGTGGGAAATAAATTCAAAGAGATGGTGAGACGCTTTGTTCAGCACAATCATGTGGAGCATTTAAAAAATTTTTTAGCCGATTAATGCATAAAATTTGAAATTAGCCTGACAGGCTGCATAATGGAGCTCTGGAGTTCTCATTTGCAAAGTTTGTATACCTGGATTTGAACTACTTGCATCTCACAGCAAAAACATTTTTTTTTCCTTTTGCATTTGATTCCTCAACAGTTTCAATCTTCTCCATAAAATTAGCTTTTATGAGCTCCACAATATTTTTCACCTTTCTTTCTTGGTGATTGAAAATACAGATTTCTGTTTTGGTCGTCAGGATGGGCATAGCCCATGGGGAAGGGGGAGGAGGTCTTGGTTCAAAACCAATACCTTTATGTCCTCCTAAGGCCTCCTTAGCCACTAGGCCAAGGGGCTGAGGACGATTGGTACAGATTTATGTTCTGTATAATGATCTACTTTAGTTATGGAATATATATATATATATATATGTTTGTATGTGTGTGTTTCTATGTATATATATATATATATATATATGTAATCTGGATGTTGCTTGGCCTTGATACTGGAATTCTCCCTTAGGAAGATATGCCAGTTACTGAATTTTTCATGTTCCCTTACTTCTTCCCAACAGAGCACTTATGCAAAGCTTGGTTGTACACAAGGGTGGTTTGCCGCTTCTGTTTTTCATCCTTCTTCAAAGTGAGCTTGGTTACCTTTTATCTTTTATGTGTAATAGTTAAATTTTTCTTTTAACAAATAAATGGTTAGGCTGACATTTAAGTTTCATGCATTTTTCATTGAAGTTTCCCTTTTTCTTTCTAATGAATTTCTTCATAATGGAAAATAAAACATAAATTCAAAAGACAAGTTTATAATATGAAAAGTACTTATATGTTCCATATTATACTTCCACCTGCTGTGTCAAATTGGCATTTTAGCCTTTCATTTTGCGACAAATTGTGGCACATGAGTAGAGAAATGTCTTTTAGTCTTCTAGGTCTTACAGTTGCTGGATACAATACATCCTCTCTTACCAGATAATTTTAAGCTCTTTTCTGAGTAAGTTGAAAATTTTATATGATCTTAAACTACAGGAATGTTTCCCAGCTTGCAAAAGTGAAAATCATGAAGAAACATGGTGAATGGCAAGACCTCCACATACCACACAGGTAATTTTCATTTGGTCTAATGCAGGTTGCTGGCTTTAGACCATTCTTATTTGTTCATACATGAAGGAAAAAGATCTGTTCATACCAAACATTTTCATTACGACACAATGTAGAGGAAAAATATAGCAATAGGGTTCAAATGATGAGTCTATTCATTTGTTGATCAAAAGTCACAACAAGCATATGCTAACAAGATATATGGCTCATCTATTCACTTGGTGGCATCTTTTTTCCACCTAAATGGTAATTCAATTTATATATTATAATACTTGGAAAAGATATTAAAATCTATACTACTATGCCTCACATAATTGACAAAACAAATTTATATTGGCTAAAAAGTTACAAAATCTGTATATTTTCATTCAATTACTGTAGAAGTAATTATTAGAGCGTGCCATTTCACTTGATAGTTGGGGTTATTGAGTCTAATATCTTTTACATTAGCATTTAGTTATAAATGTTTTGTGTTAGAAATTATTGATAAATAGAGCAACTGAAGAAGTATAAAAGAGATTAATGGACCGAAATAAGAGAAAGGAAAAGGCCCAATAAGTTCTCTGGTGAAAAAAGAAAAGTAGTAACTCACTATTCATGACAAATTTTCTTTGGTTAAGACATATTATTTGCAAGAAGTGGCCATGTTTTAGTATAAAACTTCTAAATTTAAACCCCACATTTTCTGGAAAGGTTCAACAACATTATAGAACCATCAATGTGTTTCTCGTGGTTTTTGGGAAATGAACATGTTGTCTCTTTCTTCCATCTTCTCAAGTTTCATATCCCTATTTTTTGTTACTTAGATGATTCGCGTTTTGTTACAATGAAAATATCATTTACAGAGCCTTTTGTTAAGTAAAACCATTAACTGTTGCTTATTTCAGATTTTTCTGCTTTAAGCCTCTGATATCTTTCCCATATGTCCCTGGCCCCCCTCCCCAATTTCAACAGCATAAGGTCGATCGTATGTCTCAACTTGCCCAGCTTTTCTGGTGGTCTAAATCCTTGGGGAACGCCAAGTGGCAGAAAACAGCTTCATGTTAGTCCCTATTTGTCATTTGATGATCTGTTTTATATTTGACATTTGGTTTTCTTTTTGGTTAAGAAATATCAATTAACTGTGGTGGTAAGAATCAGATAAAATATTTATCTCAATTGACTTTACAGAGAGACTTGACTCCACCTTATGTAGATGATGGCCTCCTCGAAGTTGTTGGTTTTAGAGATGCTTGGCATGGGCTCGTGTTGCTGGCTCCAAATGGACACGGAACTCGGCTGGCACAGGTAATAATTTAAGAAGGCATAGTTCAGTAGTCAAACCCCACTTTCAGAGTGGACATCCCTTGTTCAAATCCATCTCCCCCAAAAAAGGATCTTCTCAAATCAATGAGTTTACTTCTCCCCAATATTTTCCTGCATTGTTACAAGGACCTAGATGTGTGTGTGTGTGTGTGTGCACATACATATATTTTTTTTTATTGGCATAAATCTCTGTTCAATTCAGTATTTCACTATTTGTTTTCTTGTGGAAACTAGGCACACCGAATCCGCTTTGAGTTTCACAAAGGTGCTGCTTACCATACGTATATGAGGATTGATGGGGAACCTTGGAAGCAACCACTGCCGATTGATGATGATACGGTTGTGGTTGAAATTTCTCACCTTGGACAAGTGAACATGCTTGCAACCCAAAATTGCCGATCGAAAAGTGTCCATGATGGTACCTCATCAACTAGTCATCATAATGGTGAGGAAGATGATAGTGATGAAGAAGACTCAAGAAATGAGGCAGATGAGTATAGGAAATTTGGTGCGGCAGACACGTTCAGAATCGCAGATGAGGTTGATATTTCTCTACTTAGTTAAACTTGATATTTCATTTGTTGTGCTCATTACTTAACGTGTAACAGTGATTCTCGGGGTTCAGTATTAGTTTGGTTTCAATATTACTGTAAAAGTTGCCATTCATAGTTAGTTAATTTGCTCGTCTTAGATGATCCCATCTTAACGAAGCCCTTATCTGGGGGAACTTGACGTCTTACCGGTATTTTGGTTTCGGTTGGGTTGGGTAATTTGGCGGCATTGAAAACTGTTTTGTTATCTTAAAAGTTTCCCCGTTTTGTGACTGTTAATCAAGGTTTATGCTATTCATTTTTTATATTTGAAGATGGAACATTGATACCGGCCTGAAACTTTTAAAACCCTGAAAAAAGAGTAGAATGAGGATTTCATGTATATATATAACATTTACAGAATCCTATGTTTAGATTACATTAAAGAAATCAAGAGAATGGATAAATCTTGAAACTTGTGAATGGATTTAATCGAAATGAGACAAATGTTCTACGATGCCATAAGAAGTTGATGGACTATGAGCAAAGGATGCACTTAGAAGAGTTGAGACTGTATCGGAAAAACACATATATCCAAACTGAAAACAGTACACAAGTTATAATATAACACATTGCGCCTAAATGATGGAGGTTACTGTTTCTACTCTGTTTCTACCTCGGAGCAAACAAAATGGGTATTGAAGTATCACCAAAGATGATAAGCATACTGGAGTAGACAGATCAAATTACCGGCCAACGTACTGGTATTCACCCAAACAATTTTTGACGGCCTCATTGGCCTTCTGCGATTCTGATCTTTCTTCTCTTTTCTTCTTTTCCCTGAAGGTCAAAAACATTTCAGACAACAGCATCGTGTAAAACAATTCAACAACAAAGAAAGAATTACATTAATATCTTAAAATTCATTGGCGAAGAATCACATCTTTAAGGTAGCAATTCAAGTACAAAGTGATGACTGCATTTACAATTGAAGGTACCGAACTGGCTACTCTATTCATTTTTCAAGAGTGGTTTTCAGGTATAAGATGAAACTGAAGCAAGTCTGACTTTTTCACGTGTGGGTGCACTAGCATGGTATCTTTGAAATGTTAAGTGTTTACTTCTTATCTCCCAGTTTGCAATTCGTCTGCAAATTAATATCCCTGCAGGAGGTTCACATCTAAAAATAGCTTTCTTGCAGGACGTTCATATCTAAAATTTGCTTGCTACTGCAAGAAGGTTTAATAGCAAGACTTTACGGTGTAAATGCTCTAACTCAGACCAATTATATCTGTTGTACTTATGCAGCAAAGAATACAGAGCAGGCAAAAGGAATAGAATATGATACTATGAACTAGAAAAAGTCAACTAGGAGGAGAGAATTTACCTATCAACATACTCCTTAAGCAACTCTTTCGCTTGAACCAGCTTGGAAAGAAGATTCCTATACACATCAAGATCTCGGTCCACACTTCTTTTGTTGATATTTAAGGCTGCACAAAGCTGTTGGAGACAGATGTCATAAATAAAAATCCTAGGTGCAGCTTTTCCTTATACTTTATCACCAAAATTTGAAAGATTCATTTGTGAATTGTGTTATATCCAGTTCTCTTGCCATTGTCTTTTTTTTCCTCAGCTTCTTGCAAATAAAAGAGAAGTTAATGGTGATTTGGGTTAAGGCTTTAGTGAGTTAACGAGTGTTCACTTATCTTGCCAAACAATCTTAGAATAGTGTCTTAGCCCCGCGCCTGATAAATTCTACTTATGTTGAGGTGTGAATAATCAGAACTTAGTCTGAAACTAAACCAATAGTCAATAGATAAAAGGAAAGGAGGATTCTACCTTCTCTAAAACTGTAGGTTCAGTTGCATTGGCCAGCTCAAGAAGACGAAACAACCCAACAGCAAAGAAACGGCTATAGCTGAAACTCCCCTTTCCCCCAGCTCTTTCTGCAATGTCTTTCAGTATCCCCTCAACTTCTCCATCTCTTGATGGAAACTCAACTAGTGAACTGGAAGTTTGAGCACGGGCCCACTCTTCCAATTTCTGTGCGTCAATTCTATAGGCCACAACACACACACACAAAAGAACATTTTAAGGAATCCGTCTTCGCAACTACTTGAAGATTTAATTAAATAAAATGCATGCATTATTAGGAACAATACCATATTTAAGATCTTCGAACACATGAAGAAATTTCAGCATTTCCTTTCCACATTCTACTTCCTAAAAAGAAATAGTTCAACATAGTCTTTTTGCATTTCTGATAGAAAGTTTCCTAATCTAGATCATGAATTTCTAGCCATGCCAATTAGTATTAGCATCATTGCTAAGTAAATGAAGACATGGAAACTCCATAGACAAACCTATACTGTTGGGGATTCTCTTTCAATGCTTTGATATAAGCTTGGAAGATGGCATCTCGATCCTCATCACTCGGATATCCTTCCATCAATTGATCATATACAGTAACAAAACCAAGGGCGAAGACGGCATCATACAGGTAAGTCCTCTTGTACCTCATCAAATGTTGCTGCACAATCAGCTCCTGCAAAACCGTGTTGTACACACTTGGGATGGGTCGTTTATATGCTTTTAAAAAATTCGACTTTGTTTCAGATACAGTTGGGACATCTGAAAATCAAACTCAAAACAGACAACAAAAATATTAATAAATCGAATAATCTCTATAATTTAATTCCGTGAAGCCAAGTTCCAGCATTGCAAACCAAAAAAGGGAAAAAAATAACTAACCAGTAGCAGTAGACATGCAATGAACAACGGAAGAAGAAGCTGCAGTGGAAACTCGAACCCCGAGGGAATGATACAAAAGGCTTGTGCGGAAACCGAATCCTTCGAAATTGGAAGCCAGATAACGAGCCGATGAGACATTGACTTTTCTGTCGGCGGAAGTTTGACCAATTGCCGAGAAAGATAGAGAACTAACTGCCGCCATTGGAACTAACTGTATATGTATTATATAAGTATTAAAAAAAAAAAAGGAATTTTTGGGTTTGGCAATTTGGGATTTCAAAGTTATATCATCGTGGAAACTTGGCTTGAAACTGAGGAGAGAGAGAGACAGAAGAGGGGCTTATCCAGTGTTAGAAGCGAAGGGAAATGGGGGATTTTTATGAATTTGGAGAGGAGCTCTTGAGCTGTTGACACGTGGCCACTCAAAACTTGTGTATTCTTCTCTCTTTTAATTGTGTGGTTTAGGTTTCCCTGAAAGGGGAAAGCCTTTGAAGTGACATATACCCAAAGATTGTTTCTTTTCTTAATTACCTTGAAATGCTAAGTTTCTTTACGTTACAACAAATGACTCTTTGAATTGAATTTGTAATTTTACGTACGGGGATTTAGCCAGACGGTTGAGCGGCTACGTTGCGAACAACCTGGTGGAAGGAAGCCTGAAAATGGGACTCTATCAGTTTAGTAAGCAAACAAAGATGATGACATTTTTCTCGTTACTACTCTCCTCATCTCAAGCCTGATGGAATATGGGCCATTGTGGTTGGTTTATCATATTCAAGACAAGATTTTGGCAAAAGTATTGCTACAAATGATTGACATTTTTCTTTGCTTGATGACTCAAACACCAAGCTGGGCTGTGGAGCATGGATCTCGATCCAACGTGTTTTGATTCGCATGAAGTGTAAACTCATAGCAACCAAACGTTGAAGAGGGTAGAAAACTGTTTCTGGACTTCCACATATACTTTGGATTCCAAACTGCGGGGCCACATTCACTCATATTTGCACAAATAATTCTTTCTTGAATAAGGAATCACAAATTAACGCCAACTTAACTAAGAATCAGGAAGAAGAGGGAATGTAAATATTGGTGAAGTAGAAAAGGAAAAACAAATGGGTACAGTGTTAAAAGAAAAATACAACAAAGAGATTCCAGGAAGATTGAGATTGGATAAAGGGAACTTCAGTCGTTCCTGTCTTTCTAATGGAATCTAGCCACTAACTTGCATTAACTACCTAGATACCAGCCAGGGTTGCCATTTGCTAGCCACCTCTCTGTAACAGTTTAGATACTAAGGTAAAACTACAGGTCAGAGGCCATAATAACTAATAAGTTGCAGTAAAATACAACCCAAGCGATGCTATTGTGGGAAATTTCCATTTTAGTAAGGTAGACAAAATGATGACATTTTTACAGGTAGCATAGTAGGTGCATTTTCTACTTTTGAAGCAGTTGTAGAAATGAAGTTCAACTCTATACAGTATCAAATTTGAAGGAATTGATTTCGCCAGGTGGATGAATCAGATCTTCAATGGATTAATCTAATCGATCCATCATCCATGGTCGTTGGAAAACATCGACAATATAATCACTTTCTTTTCAAAAGCCACGAACCACAAATGTAAAATTGGTATACTACCGGAGGTTTTGATGGTCTTTATATACGGAAATAACATTTCCAGGCTCTTTCCCCCTCCAATTTGTATAGTAATTAGTTAACTACAAGGCCACTCTCTAAGCATATGCCTTTTCTCTCATCTTCTCTCCTCCAGAATTCTAATCTCTCTCTCTCTCTCTCTCTCTCTCTCTCTTCTTTTTCTCTCCCTCCTGAATCACACACATCCAAACCCAACTGAAGAAAGCATTTGGTTGGTTAGAGATGAGCTTGAGGAACACAAGCAGGGAATTCTTCCAAGTAGAATCACATGTTATGTAAGGAATGGAATACCGAGCTCTAAAAGCTGACTCGGTTATCAAATCTTCCTTTAAGTGAGTGAGAAGAATTTCAGGATCCTTTAATCCCATGAATACTGATAAATCTGCTAAAAGCACTTGATGACACCAGCTTAAACAGGCTGAGGAGTCGCTTGGGACTGTGATGTACTTGAGCTGCTGAGGAACTAACTAGTGTCAACGAAAGTTGTTAAGTGGGCTTTAAACTTCGAGTGTCTTCTTCTAGAACTGTTTCCTATGGCAAATCCAAGCAGTCTAGAGCACACAGAGTATGTGTATGTACAAAGAAGTATAATTATCTTAAGAAGTTTAAGTGGGAAATATAATTAATTTTCAAATCCTCTTCAGCAGAGCACATGATCTTAGATTGACCAAATCAGCAAAACAGCATCAGAACTACCTACTCGAGTAATAAGTAGATCCACCATCCTTGGCTTTTCGATTTGAGCAATATCAATGAAAACCCCCTACTTCTAAAGCGTCATTAACTTTTTTTATCTTGATCTCGCAAAAAACTAGCTTTTGATAAATTGCTCATGCTACAAAACCTGTTAAATATAGTTGTCAAATTAACAATTGAAGCTGTCGTTTGGAAAGAACTTAGAAGTTTCGTTCAGGAAAAGAAATTCTAACCGAAATAAATACAGGTAGCCACACATTACAAAAGTAAAAGGATTACAATACTGCTATTTCATATCAGCATATGTCATTTCCATTCAAATATATTTTTGAAAAAAAAAATTATTTATTACATATCATATGTTATAATTAAACAATGAATATTTTATTTCAACAAACTCATTAATGGTTATTGTAATAAATAATTGACATTTTTTGAAAAAAAGATTAAATAGCACGATTTGAATGAAAAGTGATATATACTAATATAGAGCTAACCGTTTGATATATACTGCAAAGCTTAGTTTTACTTTTGGCCATACCATAGAGGTAGAAACTAGTCCAACATGAATCAACATGTCAATGGGAATGCCGATTATAAGACACACTTAACTTGGGTAAGTTAGAAGAAGCATGATAACTGTTAGCTTAAAAGAAACACTTAGCTTGGGTAAAGTTAGAAGAACCATGATAACTGTTAGCTATCTTCCCATAGTAAAATTCAGTGTGACTTTCTCTAAAATTTCCATTTATGTTGCATTTTTCACTAGGCTGCTGTCTAAAAATGAATCAATGTGTAAATATCAGCTAATACTCGGTCTGTATATATTTTTTCTTTCGTCAATTAAATCTATCCTTCCCTTTATGTCTGCCACTAGGAAATAAAATGGTAATAAAAACAAAATCGCCAAAACATTGTCTTGATTCGTTACATTAACAAATTGAAAACTAGAACAAGAGTTTGGAATAGCACAACGGCGTAGGATCACTTTATAGTCTTATGATGATTCGGTCCTTAAATGATTGTAGCCTTAAAGTGTAATGTCTGTTCCTGATAATAGCAAGATTCTTTCCCAGTATCCATGTCCCATACTCATAGTGCTATATTGAATTGGATATCATATCAACTTATCTCTACTGTCAACGCAATATTAGTTTGCCCGTAAGATTTTTAGCCAGGGCCGGAATATCTGTCAAACTTCAACATGAAAGCAGGAGGGAAAGAATTGCATATTCAACATAAGTAAGATTCTTTGTGAACTTCATATTGGAATTCATATGATGGTAAGGCTTGTTGTGATTGGACAAACGCGACGTTAATCCTTGATTACCCCCTTAAACATCCTTTATATCTTGTTTTTGTTGGGCACGTGCATATCCTTTGCAATTATTGTTGGTACATACTTTTTTTTGTCCCTGGTAACTTAATCATATAGCATATATCTATACTATATATGACCATGAGGAATGAATTCCAATTCATCAAGCAGTTACTTAGAGAATTGATTTAATAGTGTTTATATCATAACCCACGACGCAGATTTCAGTGCAAAAAAGAAAAGAAAGCTCGAACAGCTCACAAATATACATATATACAGATGAGAGGCTAATTTACAGTGGGTCCCAGCGATGAGATTCAGGAGGTTCTCAGCCTTTTTCAGCTTCCTTGGCTTCTGTTTATCACCTAAGCAACCTGTTTGACGGGTCTCTGGTGCCTGAGAACGCATCTAACCTGAGAAGACTTTCCAGGTCCGATGTGGCTTGTCGTGGCAGGTGATAATTAGGCTTGGCCCACCATGACCCTTTACAGAAATAAGGTCTTTCACCCCTGAATGGCTCTTCACACATTACACATCCTGCGCAAATGCTTGAGCTCATTCTAATGCTACTTGCAGTTGGGCTAGCTGAACTTACAGATGGAACCTTCTATTGGAATGGGTAAGACTCATTATTGAGTTGTGAGCTTATTATAT